AAAAACTGCTGGGAAAACTGGAAAAGAGTATGGCGGAAACTAGGCATAGACCCAAATCTCACACCATATACCAAAATAAAGTCAAAATGGGTTCAGGACTTAGATATAAAGGCTGATACCATAAGTAAACTGGGAGAACAAGAAATAGTTTACCTATCAGATCTATGGAGAACAGAAGAATTCATGACCAAACAGGAGATAGAGAACATTATGAAAAGCAAAATGGATAATTTTGATTACATTAAATTGAAAAGTTTTTGCACAAACAAAGCCAATGCAACTAAGATTAGAAGGAAGGTAGAAAATTGGGAAAGAATTTTTACAACCAGTCTCTCTGATAAAGGCCTCATTTCTAAAATATATAGAGAATTAAGACAAATTTATAAGAACACAAGCCATTCCCCAATTGATAAATGGTCAAAGGATGAACAGGCAGTTCTCAGATGAAGAAATTAAAGCCATCTATAGTCATATGAAAAAATGCTCTAAATTATTATTGATTAGAGAAATGCAAATCAAAACAACTCTGAGGTACTACATCACACCTATCAGATTGGCCAACATGACAAAACAGGAAAATGATAAATGTTGGAGATGTGGGAAAATTGGAACGCTAATACATTGTTGGTGGAGTTGTGAAATGATCCAACCATTTTGGAGAACAATTTGGAACTATGCCCAAAGGGCTACAAAAATGTGCATACCCTTTGATCCAGCAATAGCACTTCTAGGGCTATATCCCAAAGAGATCAAACAAATGGGAAAAGGACCCACATGTACAAAAATATTCATAGCAGCTCTTTTTGTGGTGGCAAAGAATTGGAAATTGAGAGGATGCCCACGAATTGGGGAATGGCTGAGAAAGTTGTGGTATATGAATGTAATGGAATACTATTGTTCTATAAGAAATGATGAACAGGCTGACTTCAGAAAAACCTGGGAAGACCTATATGGTCTGATGCTGAGTGAAGTGAGCAGAACCCAGAGGACTTTGTGCACAATAACAGCCATGTTATGCAATGACTAAGATTGTTAAACTGAACCCTTCTCAGCATTATGAGGATCTAAGACATCACCAGAGGCCTTGTGAAGGAAAATGCTGTCCACATCCAAAGAAAGAACTATGGAAGTTGAATCGCTATCATTTATTTTTACCTTCTGTTGAGTTTTGTTTCATCTTTCTGATGATTCCTCCTATTGGTTTTAATTTTTACTTACAACTTCACTAATGTGAAAATATATTTAATAGCTATGTAAATGTAAAGCCTATATCAGATTGTGCGCCGTCTTGGGTAGGGTGGTGGGGGAGGAAAGGGAAAAAAAATTTTCAGCTCAAAAGCATATGGAAGTGATTGTTAATAAACCAAAATAAATTAATAAAATTAAAAAAAAATAAAGTAACTCTAAACAGTACAAAATACCTGGAAATACACCTACCAAAACAAATTCAGGGTCTATATGGACCAAACCATAACGAAAATTGTACAAAAATAAGATCAGATTTAAATAAATGGAGAAATATTAATTATTCATGAGTAGGCAGGACCAACATAACAAAAATGACAATTTAACCAAAACTAATCTATATATTCAATAGCATCCCAATTAAATTACCAAAAAATTATTTTACAGTGCTAGAAAAAGATAAAAACAAAATTCATTTAGGAGAACAAAAAGTCAAGGATATCAAAGGAACTAATGGGAAAAAAATGTCAAGGACGGAGGTTTAATAATACCAGATATTCAACTATTTTTTTAAAAAAATCTCAGTTAATTAATTAATTTTAGCTTTCAACATTCACTTCCATAAGACTTTGAGTTCCAAATTTTCTCCCACTTCTTTCCCTCCCCCCCTCCCCAAGACAGCTTGCAATGTGATAAATGCTCTACATTTACATTCATATTAAACGTATTTTCATGTTAGTCATGTTGTAAAGAAGAAGTAGAATCAATGGGAAAGAACCACGAGGAAGAAGAAACAAACAAACAAAAAAAGAGAGCAAATAGCATGCTTTGATCTGCACTCAGACTTCATTTTTTTTGTCAGGATGTGGATAGTATTTTTTATCATCAGTCTTTTGGAGCTGTCTTAGATCCTTGAATTGCTAAGAAGTGGTAAGTCTATCAAAGTTAGTCATTGCACAATGTTGCTGTTACTGTGCACAATGTTCTCCTGTTTCTGTTCATTTCACTCAGCATCAGTTCATGTAAGTCTCTTTCCAGGTTTTTCTGAAGTTTGCCTGCTTATCATTTTTTATAACACAATAGTATTCCATTACATTCATATACCACAACTTGTTCAACCATTCCCCAACTGATGGGCATCACCTCAATTTCCAATTCTTTGCCACCACAGAAAGAGCTGCTATAAATATTTTTGTACATGTGGGCCCTTTTCCCATTTTTATGATCTTTTTAGGATACAGACCTAGCAGTGGTATTGTTAGGTCAAAGGGTTTACACAGTTTTATAGCCCTTTGGGCATAATTAAACTATATTATAAGGCAGTATTTATCAAAACTATCTGGTACTAAGAAATAGAAAGGTAGATCAGTGGGACAAAGTAAACATACAATGTACGGTAGCAAATGAATATAGGAACCCAGAGTTTGAGTAAAGACTTAAGTTTTTGGGATAGGAATTCATTATTTGGTAAAAATTGTTGGGAAAGCTAGAAAGCAGTCAGGCAGAAATTGGGAGTAGACCAATATCTTAAATCATTTACTAAAATAAGACCAAAATGGACATGACCTAGAGCTAAAGGGAGATATTACAATAACAGTTGAAGAGCATGGAACATATTACGTATAATGCAGAGTTCAGCTCCTGGCAGGTTCACATTAGATTCATCCAAACCAAGGAAGGGCAACGAAGCAGCAGTTGGGGATTCATACCAGTTTATTCCTCCTGTGGTGGCCAGCAGTGAAGGAGTTGAACAACACCCATACCCCTTAGCCAGCACCCACTTTATTTCTAAGGAAACACATTTTGCCAGCAGTGGGCTCACAAGTTTACGTTAACTTTAGCAATATAATGATGACTTAGCATAGCACAAGGTGCAGTGGGTGTTTACAACTTAAGCACAAATGTTTATATTATGAATGGTTATATAATGATGAGCAAGCATGGGAGAGATTATTTTCAAGCCATTTTATGCTGGGAATTAGTATCTAAAAAAGAAAAACAAATCTACCTTACATACATTACCTTATCAGACTTACGGATAGGTGAATGATTTATGAACAAACAAGAGATAGACAGTGTTGTGAGATGTAAAATGCATAATTTTAATTACATTAAATTGAAACATTTTTCTACAAATAAAACAAATGTAGCCAAGCTCGTAAGGAGAACAGAAAACTGGAAAAAATTTTTATAGACAGTTGCTCAGATAAAGGTCATATCTCGGATATATAAAGAACTTTGTCAAATCTATAAGAATGCGAGTCATTCCCCAATTGATAAATGGTCAAAGCATATGATCAGTTTTCTGATGAAGAAATCAAAACAATTTATAGTCATATAAAAATGCTCTAAATCATTATTGACTAGAGAAATGCAAATTAAAACAACCTTGAGATATCATTTTATACATATCAGATTAACTAAAATGATAAAAGAGGAAACTGACAAATGTTGGAGGAGATGTAGAAAAACTGGTACCTTAATTCATTGTTAGTGGATCTATGAGCTGATCCAACCATTTTGGTAAGAGATTTAGGATTATGCCCCAATAGTTTCTAAGTTGCATATACTTTTTGACCCAGAAATACCAGTATTAGGTCTATTTCCCAAGATGATTTGGGAAAATGGAAAATAATCTACATTCTAAAATGTTTATAGCAGCTCTCTTTGTGGTGCAAAGAACTAGCAACTGTGGGGATGCCCATCAGTTGGAGAATGGCTAACCAAATTGTGGTGTATGTTTATGATAAAATGTTACTCTGCTATGAGAAATGATGAACTCAATGATTTTAGAAAAGCATGGAAAAACCTCTATGAAATAATGAAGAGTAAAATGAGGAAAACCAAGAGAACATTGTACACAGTAACAGCAGTATTGTTTTAAGAGCGACTTTGAGCAACCAAGTCATTCTATTATAAATACCCAAATTAACCATAAAGATCCTATGAAGGAAGATGCTGTTTGAATCTAGAAAAAGAACTCATATACACATACATAGGCATGTATGTGTACGTATGTACATAAGTATATGTATATGCATGTGTACATATGTATATATGTGTATGATACACACACACACACACACACAGATTTGTGTCTAATGGTAGCCATCTCAAAGTTTGGGGTGAGAAGGAAGGGAAAAAAAAGAAAGTCACACAATAACTTTGTTGTATATTTGAAAGAAATAACAAGTTGTGCATAATGGATCTGTAATTTCAGGTGCTATCCTCTGTTTTTCTTTCCCACTTTGTTATGGGAGAGCTTGTTTTATTTCTTAAGTACCGAATAAAAAATACATAGTTGCTCAATATTTCCCCTATATTTAGAATAGAAATCATGATTTTGGATATGGACTATCTCTAGATAGTGAATTGAGGCCTGAAAAGAGACTGATATCTGTGGGTCAGTGAAGGTCTTCTGGAGAGCTACTTGGAAGCCTGTGTCTGGTTTTTTGATACAGTCAGAAAGAGGAATAGCTTCCACATATTGAAAGTAGAATTTTCTTTTTGCTGATTGGATCTTTGGGATTTGGAGGCCCTATGACCACCAGTGATGGAGATGACCCTGAATGAAGGCTGCTATCTATCTCTGCCTCTTCCAAAGTGAGCACTACATTGTTTAATGTTGCAAACATCTTCATTCTCATTGGAATGCCCAAGTTACCCAACTTGGTCTCTGGGCACAAAATGTGCCAGCAGAACTGAGGAGATGAGGGAGGAAGTCAGTCACTTCCTGATGAGGAAGGAGGAAACCCATCAATTGTGTTGATAACAGGACAGCATCAGAATTCCAGTTCTCTTTGATACTGGTGTTCTTGTGCCTGAAATCCAGTTTGATGGCACAGCTGGCCTGATGAGCGGTTTCCTTTAGCTAGGCAGCAAGTGTGAGTGTGTGTGTGTGTGTGTGTGTGTGTGTGTGTGTGTGTGTGTGTGTGCAGGTGCACAGCTTGAGAAGGGAGGGTCCACATGGTCGCTTGATATATCCAGTTCTCAGATCCCTTTGGAAAGGTCACCTCTTATAATCTGGAGAATTGTACCAAGTCCTGGCTGATCTCTGAGACTGACCGGCAACCTGAAATGACAAAACACAGCCACATTCATCTGGACTCCTTTAATGAGCTAATCAGGGGTCTATGCTAATTCATACATAAGCAGACTTAGGTTAACTTTGATATTATCCTAGCCAATTAACAGGGAAGGCCTAAACTATTTGAAAAGGCAAGCTGTTTCCAGTACTTTTGATGCATTACTTTAAATAGAAAATTCTAATGTGAGAATTACAAGCAATTTTTATCTCTTTATTCTTCGGCAACTTGCATTTGCCTTGCATTGGCATTATATGCTATGGAAAGTAAAACAATTCATTTCTTTAAAAATGATTACCACTTAGTCAAACTGGTTTTATTTCATTAGGCCTAGTGAGGAAGGTTCTAAATTAGCTTAGGTCCCAGAAGTATTTTCATTTTAAGCCCTTTTTCTCATTGGGTAGTGAAAAGCTCTTTCTATGAATTCTATCACAGTCTCTTTCCATATGATGTGGGAGTTGTATTTGGGGGGAGGAGGTGATGCTTAGAAATCTCAGTTTCCTGATTCAGACCACCCAGGAGGCAGGCCAGTCTGCCTAGTCTGAAGTGAAGGTTAACCTTCTTGGTAGATATTTTGAATGCATCTTAAAATCTCTTGGCTTTTAATGATGGCTCAGTCTTTTCTGTCATGCAGGTATTGATATATTCAGGCAACTCTGTATATTTTGACTAGGGCACAATGACAATTCTGAGGAGCTAACCTCAAGTTTTCTAGACCTAAACTTATTACCTGAGGCAAGAAGTTTGGTTCTTTGGTTTGAATGGACACCAAGTTCAAAGTCACTTTCCCTCCAAACACTCAATTTATAGAAGATTTCCTTCCATTTAACTGACAGGAAGGTTTATGTGGTTCACCATCCTTCAGTCTTTATTGCCACTCTTTTTAACAGGGTGGAGGAGAAAAATTGACCACCATAAGGGAGGACTGAAGGAACTAAAGAGAGTTAGCCCATGGAAGAGAACACTTAGGGAAGGCACAATCACTTTCCCCCAGTATTTGAAGGGTGTAGAAAAGATGGCAGATCTCTGTGCTGTAGGTTAGGAGATCAGAACCAGGACCAATGGATAAAGCTACAGGAAAGCAGATTTCCATTCCAAATAAGAAAGAGATTCCTAATAATTAGATCTGTCTGAAAATAGAAAAGACTACTTCCAGAGGTAGTAAGCTCCCTATCACTGAAGGCATTTAAAAAGAGTCAAGATGGCCAATTGTTGATAGCTAGGTGGTATGGTGGATAGAGTGTTGAGCTTGGAGACAGGAAGATCTAAATGCAAATCCAGCCTCAGATACTTTGTGACTCTTGGCAAGTCATTTAACCTCTGTCTGCCTCAGTTTCTTAACCTGTAAAGTGGAGATAACAATAGCACATACCTACCAGGGTTGTTGTAACAAAGGAGATAATATTTAAAATCATTTAGCACTGTGCCTGGCACATAGTAGGTGCTATTATTATTATTATTATTAGGTTATCAATGTTACTACATTGGGCAAGGGGTGAGCTGGTGGGTTGAAAGGACCTTTAAAATTTCTTCCAAAGGACAGAACCAAGATGGCAGAATAAAGGTATGGATTCACCTGAGGTCTCCTAAATTCCCCTCCAAACAACTTTAAAATAATGCCTCAAATCGAATTCTGGAGTGGCAGAACCAACAAAAGGTCAGGGTGAAACAATTTTCCAGCACAAGATAACTTAGGGGTTGGCATGAAAGGTTTGTCTTGTTGGGGTGGTGGTCAGGTCTTGAGCACAGTGTGGTGCAGGCTGTGCCCCTGCAAGTCACCTTGGGGCCACTGTGAAAGCTCTTAGCACAGAGGTGGTAAGGTGGTCAGAAAACTGCCGGCAATGGGTGCAGGACCTTATTTTATTGCCCATACACAGTTCCAGGATGAAGAGGAACACTGGTATACTAGAACATGTGGGCACAAAGGAGCAGTAGCCCTGCTCACGTTTTCAGGGCAGAGAAGAGTGCTTATGGTCACTCACAGACCAGAGCACAGGCCAGCAAAGCAGTGACCACACCTCTTCTTAGATCATACCAATTTGGAAGAACTAAAAACTTACTGATTCCCAGAACTAGCTCTGAAAACAGCAGCATAAAAAAAACCTGAAGCTTTAGATAGTGCCACTTTTATCCCAGGAGCAGAGATCGACTTTAACACAAAGTTAAAAGTCAAGAAATAGTCTGGAAAAATGAGTGAACAACAACAATAAAAAAGAACCTGATTATAGAAAGTTATTATAGTAACAGGGAAGATCCAAGACACAAACTCAGAAGAAGATAATGAAGTCAAAACAGCCTCATGCAAAGCTTCAAAGAAAAGTGTGAATTGGTCACAGGCCCCAAAGGAATTCATTAAAGAGCTCAAAAAAGATTTTAAAAATCAGTTAAGAGAGGTAGAGGAAAATTGGGAAAATAAATGAGAGTGATGCAAGAAAATTATGGAAAGAAAGTAAAAAGCTTGGTAAAGGAGGCACAAAAAATACTGAAGAACTTACTAACTATGTGACCCCAGGTAAGTCACTTAACACCCATTGCCTCACCAAAGAAAATACTGAAGACAATAACAACATATTAAAAATAGAATTAGCCAAATGGTAGAGAAGAGAGAGAGAGAGAGAGAGAGAGAGAGAGAGAGAGAGAGAGAGAGAGAGAGAGAGAGAAATTCACCAAAGAGAACTCCTTAAAAAGCAGAATTGGCAAAATGGAAAAATAGGTACAAAAATTCACTGAAGAAAAGAACTCCTTATAAAGTAGAATTGGTCAAATGGAAAAGGAGGTACAAGAGCTCGCTGAAGAAAATAATTCCTTAAAAACTAGAATTGGGCAGGTGGAAGCTAATCACTTCATGGTACATCAAGAAACAACAAAACAAAATCAAAAGAATGAAAAAAAAAGAAGAAAATGTGAACTATCTCATTGGAAAAACAACTGACATGGAAAATAGATCCAGGAAAGATGATTTAGAAATTATTGAACTATCTGAAAGTCATGATCAAAAAAAGAGCCTAGACATTATATTTCAAGAAATTATCAAGGAAAACTGCACTGATATCCTAGAACTAGAGGGTAAAATAGTCATTGAAAGAATTCACTGATCACCTCCTCACAGAGATCCCAAAATGAAAACTCCCTGGAATATTGTAGCCAAATTCCAGAACTCCCAAGTCAAGGGGAAAATATTGTAAGCAGCCCCTCCTCTCCTCCCCCCTTCCTCCCCCAAAAAAAACAAAACAAAAAACCAAAACAATTCCAATACTGTAGAGGTATGCAAGATTTAGCAACTTTTACATGAAAGGATCAGAGGGCTTGGAATATGACATTCTGGAGGGCAAAGGAGTTAGGATTACAACCAAGAATAACTTGCCCAACAAAACTGAGTATAATCCTTCAAGGAAAAAACAGATATTCAATGAAATAGATAACTTTCCAGCATTCCTGATGAGAAGACCAAAACTGAAAAGAAAATTTGACTTTCAAATACCAGACTCAAGAGAAACATAAAAAGGTGCATAGCAAAGAGAGAAATCATAAGGGTTTCAGTAAGGTTAAAGTGTTTGCATTCCTATATGGGAAGATGATACTTGTAACTCCTAAGAACTTTATCATTATTAGGGCAATTAGTAAGAGTGTATGTAGAAAAGGGACACAGGATGAGCTGACTATCATGGGATGATTTAAAAAAACAAAATGAAGGGGGAGAAAGAGGTATGCAGTGAGAGAAGGGGGAAGGGAGAGGGAGAATGAGGAAAATTATCTTATATAAAAGAGGTGTGAAAAGAAGAGCTTTCATAGTGAAGGGGAGGTTGTGTGTGTGTGTGTGTGTGGGAGTGGCAGATAATGTTTGAACCTTTTATTGGAATTGGCTCAAAGACAGAACAACATACACACTTATTTGGGCATAGAAATCTATCTTTCCCTACAGGGAAGTAGGAAAGGAAGGGAATAAGAGAAAAGAGGGTTGATAGAAAGAAGAGAATATTGAGGGAGGTGATGATCAGAAACAAAATGGATTTTTTTGAGGATACGGTGAAAACAGAGAGAGAAGAGTAAAAGGGGGGCGGGAATAGGATGAAGGAAAATACATAGTAATAATAACTGTGAATGTGAATGGGATGAACTTATCCATAAAGCAGAAGTGGAAAGCAGAGTGGATTAAAAACCAGAATCTGAATATGTTTGAATCAGAGAAACACACACACTGAGTAAAGGTAAGAAACGGGAGTAGAATTTATTATGCTTCAGCTGATGTTAAAAAAAAAGCAGGTGTAGCAATTATGATTTCAGACAAAACAAAAGCAAAAATAGGTGTAATCAAAAAAGATGAGCAGGAAAAATACATTTTGCAAAAAGATACTGTGGACAATGAAGTAATGTTAATACTAAATATACATACACACACATACATACACACATACATATATGTATGTGTGTATGTATACACACATAACAGACCAAATGGTATAACATGCAAATTCTTAAAGGAAAAGTTAAATGAGTTACAGGAGGAAATAGTAAAACCGTACTAGTGAGAGACTTCAACTTTCCTCTCTCAGAACTAGATAAATCTAGCCAAAAAAAATAAACAAAAAAGAAGTTAAGGAGATGAACAGAATTTTTAAAAAGTTAGATGTGATAGACTTCTGGAGAAATCTGGATGGGAATAGAAAGGAATATAACTTTTTCTCGGTGGTACATGGCACCTACACAAAAATTGACCATGTATTAGGGCATAAAAACCTCACAATGCAGAAAAGCAAAAACATTAAATGCAACCTTTCCAGATCATAAATTAATAAAAATTATATTCAATAAAGGGTCATGGAAACACAGATTAAAACTTAATTAGAAACTAAATAATTTAATCCTAAAGAATGAGAGGGTCAAAGAACAAATCATAGAAACAACAATTTCATTAAAGAGACAATATAACAAAATTAAAAGGATGCCGCTAAAGCAGTACTGAGGGGAAATTTTATATTTCTAAACACTTACATGAATAAAATAGAGAAAAAGCAGATAAATGAATTGGACATGCAATTAAAAAAACAACTAGAAAAAGAACAAATTAAAAATATCCAATTAAACATCAAATTGGAAATTCTGAAAATTAAAGGAGATGTTAATAACACTTAGTAAAATTGAAAGTAAAAAACCATTGAACAAATAAAACTAGTAGCTGTTTTTTAAACAATAAAATAGATAAACCATTGGTTAATTGTATTTAAAAAAAGAAATTACCAGCATCAAAAAGGAAAAAGGGAAATTCACCATCAAAGAATAGGAAAATAAAGCAATTATTAGGAGGTATTTTGCCCAATTATATGCCAATAAATCTAATAACTTACGTGAAATGAATGAATATTTATGAAAATATAAACTACCCAGATTAACAGAAGAGGAAATAGAATACTCAAATAAACTTATCTTATAAAAAGAAATTAAACAAGCTGTAAATGAGTTCCTTAGGAAGAAATCCCCAGGGCCAGATGGATTCACAAGTAAATGCTACCAGACATTTAAAGAACAATTTAAAAAATGTGAATGAAGGTGGCCAAGAAGAACCAGATATTAAACTGCATTGCACAGAAAGAAGTAATCATCAAAACAGTCTGGTATTGGCTAAGAAATAGAGAGGTATATCAGTGGAATGGATTAGGTACACATCATACAGTAGTAAATGACCATAGTAATCTAATGTTTGATAAACCCAAAGACCCAAGCTTTTGGGGTAAGAACTCAAGATGTAACAAAAATTGCCAAGAAAACTGGAAAGCAGTCTGGCAGAAACTAGGTATAAACCAACATCTCACATCTATACCAAAATAAGGCCAAAATGGTTAAATGATTTAGCATAAAGGTGATATCATAAGCAAATTAGTGGATCATGGACTATTTTACCTGTCATATCTTTGGAAAAGGGAAAAATTTATGACCAAACAGGAGGTAGAGAGCATTATGGGATTTAAAATGGATAATTTTGATTACATTAATTTAAAAAGATTTTGCACAAAGAAAACCAATGCAGCCAAGATTAGAAGGAAAGCAGAAAACTGAGGAAAAATTTATAGCAAGTTTCTTTGATAAAGGTCTCATTTCTCAAATATATAGAGAATGGAGTCAAATTTGTAAGAATACAAGTCATTCCTCAATTGATAAAGAATATGAACAGAAAGTTTTCAGACAAGGAAATCAAAACTATCTAGTCGTGTGCAAAAAATGCTCTAAATCATTATTGATTAGAGAAATGTCAATTAAAAGAATTCTGAAGTACCATCTCATGCCTGTAAGATTGGATACTATGACAAAAAAAGGAAAATAACACATGTTGGAGAGGATGTGATAAAATTGGGACACTAATGCACTTTTGGTGGAGTTGTAAATTGACTCAACTATTTTGGAGAGGAACTATATCTGAAGAGCTATAAAACCGTGTGGACCTTTTAATCTACTAATACCACTATTAGGTCTGTATCCCAAGGAGATTTAAAAAAAGGAAAAAGGACTCATATGCACAAAAATATTTATAGCAACTTTTTTTTTTTGTGGTGGCAAAGGATTGGAAATTGAGAGAATGTCCATCAATTGGGGAAGGGCTGAACAAGTTGTGGTATATGATTATGGTGGAATACTGTTGTTCTGTAAGAAATAATGAGCAGGATGCTCTCAGAAAAACCTGAGAAAACTTATATGAACTGATGCTAAGTGAAGGGAGAAGAACCAGGAGAACGTTATGCACAGTAACAGCAATATTATAGATGATCAACTGTGAATAACTTTGCTATTCTCAGCGATACAGTGATCCAAGACAGTTCTGAAGGACTTATGATGAGAGGTGCTGTCCATCTCTGGAGAAAGAAGTGATGGAATCTGAATGCAGATTGAAGTATATTTTTTAAAAAAAAGCTTTAAAAATTCTTTTTTGGGTCTATGTTTCCTTTTACAAAATATATTTTTGCATGACTGCACGTGTATAATCTATGTATCAAATCACTTGCCTTCTCAAGGAGAGGAAGGAAAGTAAGAGAGAGAATTTGGAGCTCAAAATTTTAAAAAATGAATATTAAAAATTGCTTTTATATGTAATTAAAATATAAAAATTTAATTAAAAAATAAAATTTATTCCAACACAAAGATTCTATGAGCCTACGGATCAAACAAATTTTGGTGTGAGGTAGAAAGAAAGGGAAATGTATTTCCTCTTTAGAATACTTTATTTTCAGTCCTTTACTTCTAAACAGATGCTCTTTATTTTCACAAGGGAATTTCCTCCTCAGAACTTCCCTGCCCCTATGAATTCATGGGTCCAGACCAAAATAAAACAAGAACAAAGATTTTAAGGCCTTAGTAGTCCAATCTTACACCAAGTGTGACGGAAATCTCACCTTTAGCAGCCTGACTCAGTGCTTAGAGCACCTCTACTTGAGCATGTCTGTTTTACTGCCTCAGTCCAATCCAATCCAAGCCAATCCAATCCAATCTAATTCAATTCAATAAGTAAATATTGTGTTAGGCACTGTACAAATGGCAGCCTTTTCGATTATTGGACATTGCTGAGTTGAAATTTCCTTTCCTCTAACTTCTAGCTAGAGCACCGGGCCTGGAGTTGGAAAGACTTGAGTTCAAATCTAACCTCATTCACTTACTAGCTGTGTGACCCTGGGCAAGTCACTTAACTCTGTTTGCCTCAGTTTCCTTATCTGTAAAATTAGCTGGAGAAGGAAATGTACCTTTGCCAAGAAAACCCCCAAATGGGGGTTTTTATGGAGTCAGACTTGACCGAAATGACTGAACGAAAAACCAGTAATAGAATGTCTTTGCTCTTTGGCATGATAGAAGGCTTGCTGACAGCTGGCATGTCTCCTTTAAGTCTCCTTTTCTACAGTCCAAATGCATAGTATTTTTTTTTTTGCTTTTTTTGGTGAGGCAATTGGGGTTAAGTGACTTGCCCAAAGGTCACACAGCTAGTGAGTATAATTTTAACTGTTCCTGATATTCCAAGGTCCCTCAGTCCCTTCCTATATTCTTTACATTCTCTGGACACACTTTATTTAGTCTTATTGAAATCATCTTAAAGAACTAGATGCAGTAATCCTGGGGGTTGGACTGTTTATTGCATTGAGGATAGCATGCTTTCTATAATCTTGATATTTTGTATCACCTAACGCAGCATTGGCACTGAACTGCTTATGTTAAGATCCTCCTTTTCTTTCTCCTTGGTACCTCTTTCTAGGGAGGAATGTATGATAGAGGGAAGGTGGGGGACAAAAAAAAGGGACTATGCCTGTTGTTTGTATGTTTTACACTTAACCCAGATCCAAAGTGAGTCTTACCTGTAAAGACCATGGATCTATAGAACTCCTTCTTTAATAAGTTCAAGACTTGTCGAACTCCCTCTTCACCCTATTCCCAAATGGAGAGAATTGTGAGGAAATATTTTTGAGCATTTTGGACATATGATCTGATTGACCAAAGAGTTTGCCTTCAGATATGATCATATATTCTAGGAGAGTTGGAATAAGTCACTTAATGAATTGTGGCTGTGGTTTGTCCTTTATTCTTGAAGAGGACCATGACACCAGGAAGATGATGCCGTGACAAGCGAGTAATAATACAGACAACTCCCCACTCCCATCCCCACCCCTTTCTCCAGAGAAGCGCTTCACCTGAGATTCAGGAAGGGTTTTTTTTTCTTCCAAATTTATTAAGTAACTTGGAAAATAATTTCTTCAAATCATTAGCTCACAAACAGGCATCTGTTTCTATCCCATTCTCAATCTTCCAATCCATTTTAGTACTTACCAAGTCAGTCAGTCATTCAGTAAGCATTTATTGAGTGACTACTATATGCTAAGTGCTGGGGATGGAGAAAGATAAAAGAGAGTCCCTGTTCTCATGGAACTTACAGTCTAATGAGGGAGATTTCAGCTAGGACTTTAAGGAAGATAGGGAAGTCAGCAGGCAGAGGTGAGGGCAAAGAGCACTCTAGGTATGGGGCACAGCTAGTGAAAATGCCCAGAGTTGCCCATCAGTCAGGGAATGGCTGAACAAGTTGTGGTATATGAATGTAATAGAATACTATTGTGTAAGAAGAAATCAAGTGGGAAGGTTTCAGAAAAATCTGAAAAGACTTGTACAAACTGATTCAAGGTGAAATGAGCAGAACCAGGAAAACAATGTACACAGTATCAGCAACACTGTGTGATGATCAACTAGGAATGACCTAACTCTTCTCAGCAATGCTAAGATCCAAGATAAGTACAAAGGACTCATGATGGAAAATGTTATCCATGTCCAGATAAAGAACTGATGGACTCTGAATGCAAATTGAAGCCTACTTTTTACATTTACATTTTTTTTTTCATTTTGATCTGTTTCTACTTTCACAACTGTGACTAAAATGGATATGTTTTATATAATTGCACATACATAACATGGCAAATTGCTTACCATTTTAGGAAGAGGGGTGGGAGGGAGGGAGGGAGAAAATTTGGAATTCAAAATCTTGTAAAAATGAATGCTAAAAATTGTCTTGACATATAATTGGAAAAAATAAAATACTGTAAAAAAGAAAATGCCCAGAGTTGAGAGTTGGAGGGTCTTATTTGAGAAATGACAATGAGGGCAGTGCACTGGATCACAGGGTATGCAGTGGAGAGGTGTATGGTGTAAGAAGATAGGGGGCAGGTTATGAAGGGCTTCAAGTGACAGAAGATTTTATATTTGATACTGGAGGTTATAGGGGAAGGTGGTGTGGTGACATGGTCAGATCTGCCCTTTAGGAAGATCTCTTTGATAGTTGAGTAAAGAATGGACTATAAAGGGGAAAGATTTATGGTGGGGAGATAAGTAATAGTAAATGACAATTACGTGATGCTTTAAATTTTGCGAAGTACTTTACATACATTATCTCAGTGGGTAACTAGCTAATATATAAACATTAAACCTATGATATATGTATTAGAAATCATTATACCCATTTTACAGATGAATTAACTGAAGCCCAGAGAGGCTAAGTGACCTGCCTATGGTTACAAAACTAGTAAGTGTCAGAGGTGGAATTTAAACCGAAGTTTTCCTGATTGAGTCTAGAGGCCAAACATGACACAATGAACATTAGAATCTGCCCATCAGGTTATGGGGCAGGTATACCAAAACCTTGTAGAATCATCTAGTAGAAGGACCAAAAAATATTCAAAGAATTAAGAATTCTAGGACTTGGTGTAATTTATGCAGAAGGAAGTGCGAAATAGAGGAGAAGCTGAAATCAGTAGGTGTTAAGTGACACAGCATTAGCCAAACATTGAATTACAGGGAATAGTGTGGTGGAGTGTAATAAGTGCTAGATTTGAAGTCAGGAGACATCTGGCTTTGATTCTCAACTCTGATATCTACTAATCCTAGAAGGACAGAGAAGCCACTTGACTCCTCTGGACTCCTCACACAAGACACTCCTCATCTCCCAGATCTGGGCATTTTCAGGTAAATTGGATTGTAATCTCCAAGATCCCTCCTAGCTCGACCATCCAAGAGTTGCATGATTCTGTTAGGTTTTCCAAAGAACATGATCCAGTTGGGGGATTCTAATAAGATTTGCTGTGAGCAGTGTTGTGGGACCAAGGAAGGATTTTGGCAGAGATCTCAAGCCTGGATTAACTTCCCACAATCCAGAAAGAATAATGAGGTAATGAAATATAATGAGTGGGAAAGAAATGAGACTTGTTCTACTTGGCCTTGGAGGGTAGAACTATGACCAAGGTATAGACTAGATTTTAGTTTGATATAAATGTGGCATATCCAGAGAGAGTACTAGATTTTCTCTGAGTCCAAAGATCTGGGTTCAAATTTTAGCCCTGCCATTTACTAGCTAAATGACCTTGAATAAGTCATTCAATCTCTCTAGGTCTCAGTTTCCATATATCAAAATTGAGATGACCACAAAGTTCCCATTCTGGGTCTAGATCTGGGCATCCTACTTTTTGGGAAGTGTCTCAAACAGATGAGTGAGTTGCTGTATTTTTACCTATGTTTTCCTCTCTACTACCTCACCTTGTAAGTGAGACCCCATAGGATTGGCCTTCCAAGGAAGACACACCTTGCACCAAGTGCAAGTGCCTTTAATACATCTGTTCCAGTTCGGATGCCACCATCTAAGTAGACTTCAATTCTTCCTTGCACAGCATTCACAACTTCTGTCAGGGCATCAATCTGAAAAGAAAAGTGCATATTTGTCTTTACTGCTCTTGATTCTTTCTTATTAGAGATGGGGATCTGGTGGAAAGGACATCAGTGGGTAGCATCCTAGGAACATGATGACACAATCCACTGGTGGGTGCAACATTACCTAAATTAATTTTGTCTTTCGCTACCATACCAACCAAACTACCAAAGGCTTTCTTGATATGCTAGGAAAAATTTTAAAACAAAATTTGTATGGAGCAACAAAAACTTAAGAATAGCAAGAGAAATAATGAATAAAAGAGCTACATCAATAAAAAAAATTCTGAGGTTTTACCTCACATCTAGCAAACTGGCAAAGATGACAAAAGATAGAAATAGTCACTGTTGGAGTTCCTGTGTGAAGACAGGCACACCAATATACTGTTGGCAAGATTATGACTAACTGTTCTAGAAATCAAAGTGAAATTAGGCTTGAAAGTCACTAAAATGTTGATACCTTTGACCTGGGGTTCTTACTATTAGGCATATTCCCCAAGGCAGTCAAAAACAGAAAGAAAGATTTCATATATAACAAAATATTCATAGCAGAACTTTTTTGTGGTAATAAAGAATCAAAAACAAAGCAGTTGACTGTTGATTGTGAAATGGCTAACAAAAATTCTGGTCCATGAATATAAGTGAATGAGAAATGATATATATGAAGAATTCAGAGAAACACAGGAAGATTATGAATTGATGCTCAGTAAAGCAAATAGAGTCACGAAAACTAGGTATACAATGCCAAAAAAATGTAAAGTGAAAGAACAATAAATCAAAATTGAACACTGTGATGACACAGTGATTAAATTTGGCTCTTGAGAGTAACTGAGAAAATTCACTACCTTCCTCCATTTTAGAGGTGGGGGGCTGCGGATGTAGAATATTGCATATCGTGGCAGGCACAGCAATGGCTAGTTTTTTGTCTCTATTTTAAAATATTTGCTTGATGGGTAGGGAAAGGGGAATGGAAATGTTCAGGAATGAATGAGATATTAAAACAAGAGACATCCATTAAAAAAAAAAGATATATTCCACTGCAATGTGGACACATGGCCTAGGGAAGAATCATGTATTCTGTCTTAGAATTTTGGATTCAGTTTTGAACTTTATTAGTGATTGGTTATAGCTCCTAAAAATAGGACAAAAACAGACCTAGGAAGTGTGTTGAAACATACAGAAAATAGGTGAATACATAGAGATGTATGTGCACAGAGGCTCTATTTAACATATAAACAGTCACAGACATGTATGCATAACCCTAGAGTTAGTAAACTTACTGTGGCTGGAACTGTATCCAGCTGTCTTCCGCCATGGTTGGAGACAAGAATGCCCTGCACATTGTGGCTTATGGCCAGTTCAGCATCCTCCCTTGTTAAAATTCCTTTCAGGATGATGGGCATTTGTGTGATGCTCTTTAGCCAGGCAATGTCTTTCCAGGAGATGGATGGATCAATGTTTGAGACTGGGAGGAGAGACTCTGCATTTTCCTTAAGTGAGACAGAAGGAAACACGTTGTTGTGGACCCCATTTTTGTACTAAAATACCAGATAAAAACTTTTGCTGTCAGCACCAGCCTCCTGAATCAGACCTTCGGGATCAAATATAGAGTCCTTCACAACCTGGCTCATTCTTACCTCATAGCGTTCTTATACTTCGCTCCCCCACCCACCCCCATATTCTATCATCCAGTAGTACTGACTTACTACCTATTCCTCACATGTGACCCCTTATCTCTTGACTCTGTGTCTCTCTCTGTCTCCATCTCTGTCTCTGTCTGTCTCTTTCACCCCTCATTCTCCCTATTTTCCATCCCTCTTTTTTGCTTCTCCATCTAAGACCAGAAGGGACCAAAAAGGGCAGAACACACTTTTGAGAATCCACATTTCGCTAAAGCTACAGGGATGGAGGCATCTAGACAGCTCAGTGAATAGAACACTGAGCCTGGACTCACGAAGACCTGAATTCAAATCTAGATTCAGACACTTACTGGCTACATGACCAAGTCACTTAACCACTCTGTGCCTCAATTTCTTCAACTGTAAAATAGGACAATAGTATCACCTGCCTTCCAGGGTTGTTGTGAAGATAAAATTAGATAATATCTATACAACAATGCCTTGTACACAGTATGCATTTAATAAATGCCTATTCCTCTTCTCCTATAAACTTAAAATTGTCTCCCCAATAGAAGAGCAGGAACTGAGAATAAATAGCGTAGGACAGAGTGTTGAACTTGGGAGAAAAGAAGACCCAGTTTCAAATCTGTTTCAGACACTTAATAGCTGTGTGACCCTGGGCAAGTCATCTGTAAAATGGAGCTTCTAATAATAGCACCTACTTCATAGGATTGTTGTGAAGATCGAAAGATGAGTTATATGTAAATCACTTTGCAAACCTTAAATCTTCTAAAAATATTAGTTTAGGGGACAGATTAGTGTAGGTCATATGTGTATGTCCACATGGGTTTTCTGCAAGTGGCTCTTGGGGGGGCTTTGATAGACATCTCAGGAATCTTGCCCACTCCTCACCAAGGCACAATTTGATTCCTTCCTGGAGATGACTACTCAAGGGCACCATGAGGCTAGTTGTTCAAGAAGTCTGACCTATTCATCCACACAGGAAAGACAAAATGGATGAATATCCATTGCCCAGATTTGAACATTCATTTGGATGGACGCCTATAAAGTTTGCCCAACAATATCTATATTTGGGATAGGCAGCATAGACAGACAATGAACTGGGACCAGAGTTGAAAAGGAAGAGGTGAGTAGACTGTATTGCCTTTGGGACATTGTAAATCTCTTTCACTGACCCTAAACTTCTCATAAAAACAAAGGCTCATTTTTTTCAATACTAATACTTTATTGGTGTTGCTATATGGCAGCTAGATATAGACTGTAACTCTCTCCAAACACCTAAAAACAAATATCACCCTTGGGACACTGGAGACACATGTCACAGTAGATGTGAGCATTTGGAAATATATGTCCAATGAGGAACTCTGGAGAAGGAGTAGAAGATGGCCAATTGGCAAGATTGAAAGGAGACAAGTGGACAGCCAGAAGACTTCACCCATGATATTGTGATGTTTAGAGAAAGTAAGGAGGTGAGGAAGCCCTCTAGTACTTTGAATGAACTTTTAGAAGACTATGGTTATGAGTTGTACAAGATGTCCCCTGTAGCCCTCAGTTCTTTCCCAGGCCATCATTCCTCGCTAGCTATATTCTCCTCCTCTCTTCATCTTGACCCCTTGATATAATACAATACTGAGTCCACTAAAAATATAAGTTATAATCTCAACTGGGCCCTCACTGCTGCCAGACAATCCTTCCACACCTCCCTAATTGATTCAATATCCTTCTTACCCATAACAGCATTTCCAAATCTTTTTCATCTCTCCTCAAACTCCCCACTACTCTTCTTCATCCCACATGCTCAGCTGAGAAACTTGCTTCATATTTACTGAGGCTTCTTGACAAGTCCGCCCTTTTGACAAATGCTTGTTGACTTGATATTTATAGGGGAATCATAGTCATGGAGGGTAGTTTTGCTTTGAAAGTTATAGGAATGTTAGGAGAGCCACAGAAGAATAGATTGATACACTTTCTCCAGGAGCATGGTAGTGATGATTTGATTATAGTTCTTGAACTAGAAAGAGACAGAGAGAGCAGAAGGTAAAGGTGTGGTGGCAGGGAATTGGTGAAAAGATATACAGGGAGTAAAATGGAGAATGGCCAGAGCCCTCCTAGATATAGTGGGCCACATATGAGCTACTCACTCAGAGAGTCAGTCAAGTTGCTCAGTCAATTAACCTTTATTAGTCACCTGCTATATGCCAGGTACTATATACCAAGCACTGAGGTTACAAAGGAAGACAAAAAATAGTCCCTGCCCTCAAGGAGCTCACAGTCTCAAGGGGTAGACAACATGTAGACAAATAGGTACAAACAAGCTATAGATAGAGTAAATGAAAGATAACCACAGAGGGAAAGCACTGGAATTAAGGGGAATCAGGAAAAGTGTCTTGCACAAGGTGAGACTTTAGCTGAGGCTTGAAGGAAGCCTGGGGACAGTGGTAAGGAGGGAAAGAATTCCAGGAAGGGGGAACTGCCGTGAAAACTTCCAGAATGTGGAGATGAAATGTCTTGTTTGAGAAACAGCTCATGTTCTAATGGGGGAGACAGCATAAACATATCTAAATATGTATATGATATACACAAAATGAAAACATGGTAGTTTTGGGATGTAGGGAATTAGTGGGCAGGGATCAGAAAAGTTTTCATATAGAAAGAAGATGGTATTTGAACAAATCTTAAAGAAAACCGGGAATTCTGGTGAGACATTGAGTGTGTTTGTTGTAAAATGGATTTTTCTATGGTATAGGTTAGACCAGATTGTCACTGGAGGACAGTTCTCCGAACTCCGAAATTCTGCAGGTCCCAGGTACACCACTTCAATCATGCTAATTTCGTCTACTTTCTCTTCAACTATGTACATCACACTTCCTCGGAGACCCTTCCTGGTCCTTGGTGACCAAAGGATAACAATGAAACAGTGAACTCCAAGTCTAGCTGACAACTCCAGAGGCACTGAGCCAAAGATCTGAGCATTTCATCCTGCTACCATAGGTGCCCAATTATTGCAAAAGTCTTGTACAATTGCAAAACTATTTCCAGATACACCAGTATCACCAGAAGCAACTCTGCCTTTATGACCTCTCTTTTCTCCTTAGGAAAACCTGTCTTATAGACCCATAGACTTTTTGGAGGTCATCTAGTCTAATATTCCATCCAATTCAATTCCCTCTGGGATGTGTCAGAAGAGTTGTTCAGTGTCTGCTTGAACACATTCTCCCCTTTACTCTTCACCTGTCCTGCCTCTAGAAACAGTGAACTCTTTCATGAGGTAGCATATTCTGCCGGCCCAGCTCTTAAATGTTTGAAAGTTTGTTCTCCTATTGAGTGAAATATGCTTTCTTATAACATTCACCCATGGGTTCTCACCCCTCCCTACCCTGAAGTATCCCCCATACCTCAATAGGCACATGCACGCTTTTTGTCGATATTGATGCTGGCAAAGAGAATCTGTTGCGATTATCTTGCAATCTGTTGCCCACAGCAGGAGTATCTACAGTGAGGACTAGAGCTTTGTAGCCTAGGGTTTCCGCTTTCTGTATCAGCTCCTTTGTTATTTTTCTGTCCCGTTGCACATATAATTGAAACCATCGGAGGCCATTGGGTGCACTAGCCACGATGTCCTCAAAGAAGCATGTGGAAAAAGTACTGGTAACATAGCAGATATTCATGGCTTCTGCTGCTGCAAGAGAAAAATCAACATAAGAAATGAATTGGAGAAGAGGATATAGGAGTCCTGGCTTGGAAGTGGGAAGCCCTTAGTATAGAGTTAAGTCTCTGACCACAGCTTGTGGTATGATTTGAGACAAGTTATTTGGCCTTTATGCCTCAGTTTCTTTCTATGTCAAGGAAGGTATTTGGATATAGATGCAGGAATTCAGGACAAAAATCACCAGTTCCATTTAGCCCTTCCAATGTGCTTAAGTGATGAACCTGAATGGTTATGGTTGTAGCAGTGAGGGGATGTAATAGGATTGGAGGGGAATTGACTTCTACTGACTCACGTATCAAACAGGCTTGAGTGAATTCCCATAGAAGAGAAAGAGAAGCAGGCAAAAAGACAGATGTGACCTAAGGCAGAGGTGACAAATAGGTAGCCTACCAAATTTCCCCATTTGTCTAACCAGATTAAAATGGAATTGGGAAATTTTAAACAAACTAAATAAAAATACAATACAACATAGATAATCATGGTTTTCTAAGTCAATATGCTTCCTACAGGAATCCATTTCTATTTGAGCTTGATATGACTGACCTAAGGGGCTCACTAAGGCTAGCTATAGGTATGATGCATAAAGGAGCTGACCTGGTTTTGAGAATTGATTCACAAAAGAGATGTAGATATTCCCTGCAGAAAAGTAGCCTAATCACAATTCAAAGGAGAAACAGCAGCTAGGATAAGCAAGTTAATGGAGAAAAAGAAGATAGACAAAAACATTCTGTGATTCTGTCAAAGCAGTTCAGCAGAGAAAGTAGCCCAGCATATACCATCAGCAATTTTGAGGGCAGAAAGGAGTTCCACCTAAGATGCAAGCCAAGGAGTGTGAGTTATCTGAGCTACTGGTGTTCCCTTTCCCATTGATGTCATGAAAATCTGTAGGACAGTGAATCCCTGAATGCATGGGGAGTTTTTGGCCATTGACCTTGATAGTCTGTTTAATTAATGTTTTTGTTTTTGAGTCAAAAATGTGCCCTTTTCCTTGATCTTGAGAAAAAAAAGAATTGAATGACACAAACTGTAGGTTTTGAAATGATGCTGATCCAAAGGGGACCTTGAATGTTGAGTATAGTTTTTCAGGGGTCACACTCATGGGATCTCCCCAGGCTACCAGTGTTTTTGCCACCAATTTGAGGGAGGTGATAGTGGAGAGATAAACCCATCATGGAAGACACTGAGTAAGGGATGGATGGAAAGGAACAAAATAAGTATAGAAGAAAACAGTTAGTATCAACGAGAGAATGTTTATAAGCAGATGTCAGAAAGTCTGAGAAAAAAATCAGGAAATAACACAACACTGAAGGTAGCAATAGTCGGGGATAGGGAAAGCAATTCCAGACTCAGGAAAAGCCAGAGTCAAGTTTGGTGCCCAAGGGCAGGATACTGGCATATTAAAGCCAGGGAATGGGGAATGAAGTGGGATAAGTTAGTCATAGCACATTAATTTCACAAAGGCTAGACCAGCTGCCACCTTTGGAAGTGAAGTAAGAAGACAGACTTCGAGGTATTATTTTTTAAAAACAATTTTAAAATAAGTTAAAGTAAATAATTTTAAAAATAATAACTTTAAGATAATTTTTTAAATGCAGAGAACAGAAGGCCACAAAGAAGCATAGACAAACAGGATAACTTTGAAAGCTACAGGTTGAACTTACTATATATTTAAAAAGAAAAGTAAGCTTTACCTAATCAAAATCTTCAATTTCAAACTTCAAACACAATCTCTCTGTCTGTCTGTCTGTTTCTTTGTCTCTGTCTCTGTCTGTCTGTCTGTCTGTCTGTCTGTCTGTCTCTCTCTCTCTCTCTCTCTCTCACACACACACACACACACACACACACACACACACACACACACACAGAGCTAGGTAGTTCAGTGAATTGAGCTCTGGGCTTGGAATCAGGAAGATGAGTTCAGATCCGGTCTCAAACACTTAGTAGCTGGTTGACCCTGAGCATGTTATTGAACATCTGTCTGACTCAGTTTCCTCAACTATAAAATGGGGATAGTAATAGCACCTACCTCCAAGGGTATTTTGAGGATTAAAATGATATAATATTTACAAAACACTTAGCACAGTGCCTGACATATAGTAGGCATTTAATAAATGCTTGTTTCTTTCCTTTCTATTCTAGCATGTATATGGAAATGACCATTGTATTTGGTGTTTGTTAATTTTGGAATAAAAACAAAATGTTAACAAACGACATAAAAAGCCCGATAATAAAAACCAATCACTCAGGGGGCTATGTGGAAACTGATAGGTGGCCCAATAATGATTGTTATTATTTGCTTAGCCTAAAGTCAGTGGATTATTGCTCAACCCAAACTTTTGTTTGCCTGTGGAGGCATAGTTGGAAAGCAGTCGTTCTAAAAATGAGTTTGGGGTTTTAGGGTACTGCAAGTCCCATATGGGTCAGCAATGTGACACGGCAGCCCTGAAAGTGCACATGATCTTGGGCTGCATTGAGAGGCAGAGGTTCTAGGGATAGAAGGTCTCTCTGTAGTCTGCCTCAGAGAGTGTCCAGAGCAGGGCAACTAGAAAGGTTAATGGCTAGGATTTATGTTCTGTGAGGATTGCTCAAAGAAACCAAGGTGAGTAGGTTTATATTGGAGAAGAGAATAGTCAAGACATGACAGCTGTCTTCAAATATTTAAAGAATTGATGGCTGCATTTGGAATACTAGCTAGCATTTACATAATGCTTTAAAGTTTGAAAAGCTCTTTATATATGTTATCTCATCTACTCTTCATGACAACTGTACACTATAGATATTATTATGATGCCCGTTTGACAGATGAGGAAACTGAGGTGGAGAGGTGAAGTGTCTTGCCCAGGTCACATAGCTAGGAAGTGCCTGATGGAGGATTCAAACTTGGATTCTCTTGACTTTAAGGCCAGCACTCTACTCAATGTACCACCTAACCACCTGTAAGAGGGATTAGATGTGGCATACATTTCCAGAGAGCAGAACCCGGAGCAACGGGTAAAAGCTGTGAAGAAGCAAATTTAGACTTATCACAAAAGATGGTGGATACTCCCTCTTTGGAAGTCTTCTAGAATAGACTAGATGGCTGCTGTCTATAAGGTATGTTTCTGTGAGGATTCCTTTTAGTGAATTGGACTAGATGAAGAATGAGGCCCTTTCTAACTCAAATTCTGTGACTCATACCAGAAAAGGGCAGATTCTACTCAGGAATTACATGGCTTATCTTTTTTTAGGACTGAATTTGGGGAGGCCTTGGGCTCCACTCCTTATGGCATGATTTCTTTCCAGAGCTCGATGCCTCTATGCAGACAGGAAGGAATTTTTGGGGTTGGTGAGTACCTTTAGCTGTACTCTGTTCTCCATCAGGCCAACAAAGGCAGTGGAAGCCAGTGGGTGCAATGCAGACTGGGAAGCTGATCTCAGATCCTTGGATGGTTGTCCTGGTGTCTACCACAGACATATCTCTTAGGACGTGGGGATGGAGACGGATTCTGCAAGGCATAAACACCAGGGTTACTAACTTGGTAAATATGCTGTTAAGTCCCAGGCTCTTCAGATCAGGGATTCTGAGATGAGAAGTGCTTGACTTCTGAAAGCTTGTGGGCTGTTTTTTTTTTTTTGTGGGGGGGATACCATGCAAAGTGACATAGCACATAAGTGCTGGAGCTGGGAGTTGAAGCCAGGTCTTCTGACTGTGGGCATCCTATTTTAGAAAGAATATGGCAAGGTGGAGCATATTTAGAGGACAACCTGAATGGCAACAGAGCTGGGGGCTGTAACAGAAAAATGATTGACTTAAGCACCTGGGGATGTTTATCTAGAGGCAGCTACATGATAGAGTGGAGAGAGTGCTGGTGCTGGAGTCAAGAAGAGCTGAGTTCAAATCCCTCCTCAGACACTTACTAGCTCTGTGTCCTGGGCAAGTTACTTAACTTTATTTCTGTCATCTGTAAAACGGGAATGACAATAGCACCTACCTGGTTGTTGTGAAGGCAGTGTGAGATAATATTCATAATGCACTTTGCAAACCTTAAAGCGCCATGTAAATGTGAGCTATTATTACTTGAAGACAGTTGTAAATGTCTTCTCTCCTTTCCTGTACCTTCTTTCTTTTCATCTCTTTTCCAGCGTAAACCTGCCTAGTTTCTTCAGCTGACCCTCATTTGTAACAGATTCAAAATCATTCACCATCCCAATTGCTGTCTCCTGGTCATCAATGTCCTTCTGAAAGTATAGTGCCTTATTTTGTCTCCTAATTTAGATTATAAACACATTGAAGGTTGGGACCAAACCATACCTTCTCCCTTTGTGTTGATTATTATTATTATTTCTAGGAAAAATATTTGCCATACTGGTTATTATACAATGGCATTTCTTGCCCTAGTCCTTTCCAGTTTTTCAGTGTCACCTAGTCCCTTTTGTCTAGGCTTCGTACTCACATGGTCTTTCCTTCATCTCTAATACCCCTCTCCCCCAAATTTTTGAACTCTATGATAATTTAATCTAAATATGCCCCTGTTTCCTTTTCCATTATCCCTCATAATAGGTTCTTAGGGATCCAATAAAATGACAGGAGAATGGAGTTGTGCTGCATGGGTTATAGAGGAAAACTTGTCTCATCCACAATGTTCTCCTCTTGATGTATTTGCAACCTGTCATGGCTAGAGATTGGAGTGGAGCCCTTTGTCATTTCCCTTCAACCTATTATTACCAGAAACCAAAGAAGGAAGTTCTTAAGAATGTGAAGGGCTGAGGCATGTGCCTTCTGTACATCTGGAATATTGTGGCTGACCGATAAACCCAACACAAGCAGAAAGAGACAGAAAGACAGTAGCAGAGAGACATAAGGGAGAGAGAAAAGAGAGTGAGAAATAGAGAAAGGAGGGGAGGAAAGAGACAGAGAGATAGAGATAGAGAAAGACAGAGAGACAGACAGGGCGAAGAGAGGAAAGAGGATGGATATACAATACCATACTTTTTATATGCTGAGATATTCTCATCTCTTATGATGCATTCATCAGCTCCTCCTTCAATGAATTCCCAAGTGGGCTTAGGAAGATTGTCTTTGGCAAATGCTTGAAAGTCAGCTAGGCATGTGAAAGCCATTTTCTGGAAGGATCTTGGAAAAGGAAGAGCAGTCAAAATGTGTTAGATGCAGGGCAATGAGGGAAAGGGAAATGACAGCCAAAGAAAAAAAAGAGCAATCCCTGCCTATGTTCTTCACAATGGCCACTTTAGACTTTGGCTAACGTAGAGTAAACATGTTTACACTGCTAACATAGGATAAGAAGTATGATTCTAGTCATTTGGTCATGATGCTTTTCACATGGGTTCTGTCCATTACTGTGTGTATCAGTTTACGTTGCCAGTGAGTTGACCATGGCCATGAGGTAGCCAGGGTAGCAGACAGTGTGTTCTCTCCTGTAGGGTTGGCCGTTTAATGGAGGGAATCCTAATGGATATGGAGAAAGAAAAGTTGACACCAAGGGAGATTTCCTGGCATGCTTCTCAAAATGCTGCCATAGCTGGGGGAAATAGGCAAACTGAATGGAAAATGGCCACGTTGGCATATCTTTCAGGGATACTTAAGGTGGTCAATTAGTGAGGAGACTAGTCCTTCTTGGATCAAACTGGCCTTTGCTTTGTAGTGAAGAAGACCATCGCGAGATTAGTAGAGTGGATGCAGGGAAAAGACCAGTTGCATCTGGGAGGAGTTATGCAGAGATGGTGTTCAAAGTGTTCAGTACTAAATCTTACTTCGCTCATGTTTAAGTTGAGGTAAGTAGGAGTTCAAGGATGTCCTAGGTCAAAAATTAAATTAAAATATCTATTAATGAAAATGTATCAAGTACTTATTATATGTAAAAAGACAAAAATGAAACCATCTTTGCTCTCAGGGAGTGCGAAACATATTGAAAGTTTCTACAATGTACACTGAGTTTAGCCAAACAAAGTTTAGCTTCAACTTGACCCCTACCCTTGTGAAGCTTACGATCAAGTTGGCTGATATGATATACAGGCAACCATAACACAAAACAATACGAAACACAAAATAAAGCACATGTTAGGATGACGGTTTATGCTACTGCAGAACTTACCCCAAAAGATGCTCCAGAATTGAGGGAGTAAGGAATGAATGATGGAAGGCAGAGTCAGATCCAGTCTATAGCTGTCTATTACTTACTACAGGAGAAGGAACCATGCCCCCAAACTTGTAATTAATCCTCAAATTATACTGTCATACACATAGAATGCCAAGGATGTTCTAGAAATTTGAATACAGAATGTGACAATGAAGCAAGAAAAAGAATGGTGTCTTTTGAAAACGAATCACTTCCCCCCCTCTCCCAACACACATATGAAGTGGTAAATAATATATCTCTATGTAAGATTCATTCATTAATTCATTCAATTAACCTTTACTGAGAATCTATTATAAACATAACATAGTCTGTGCTAGGCATGGATAAGAAGTGTTTTGAGTTAAATGTGAGAAGAAGTCTGTGGTCATAGTGGTCAGAGGCATCTTCATAGAAGAGTTAGGATTTGAGAAGCTTGATGTGAATATGGGTAAATGAAGTGTAAGGGTGGGCAGTGGAGGTGGAATGGCATAAGCAAAGTTATGGTGGCAGAAATATCATGATATATTGGAGAGACAGTCATTGTATCTGGCTGCCTGGAAGGGATGATAATAAATGTAAGAGAGCAGTGGAAAATACTGCTTGAAAGTATAAATTTACAATTACTTCAATATTCCTGTTCTTATTTATATCTGTGACACTCCCTGTGCCAGGGTAAACCACAATGCCTTTAACTTTTTCTCTTCTGCAATTCTTGTCCATATCTTTCCCCAAATCAGCTTTAGTTTATTGTGAGATTTAGCACTTCTGACCATGCTATATTTTTGTAGCAATACTTAGTTATCTACTGTTGTTTGATTTTTATACATGTACGTATATCATAATATACATATGTAATCATAATATAACAATACAGACAGACACAAATGTAACCCTTGTTCCAAAGCTTATTGGTATGATATTCTATCCTTATTGGTGCAGATGAAAGCCTTGTCCTGCATGGCAAGAGAGAAAGCTCCAGCCTTGACCAGCCTCTTTCAGGACTTTCCAAGCTTAAGTCTCCTTCGAGCATTGAGTTGCTTTGAGTGCTTCTGGCTTCCATCTTTTTAAAAAATTATTATTCTGAACTTAAAAAAATCAAACATTCATTTCTGTAACAAAGAATACAAAAAAAGAGGATTGCATGTGAAACTGCAAGTCTATTATGTACAATTTGCTTTTCCTTTTAATTACATAATGAAGTTATCATGTAACTTTTTTTTTTCTTCCTCACTGCACCCCTCCACCCCCTACCCCGGAGATGGCTACCATTAGACACAGATAAGTATATATATATATATATATATATGTAAAACCATACTATATTTCTATTTACAAGTTCTTTGGATGCAGATAGCATCTTCCTTCATCGGTCCATTGTAGTTCATTTGGGTATTTGTAATAGTCAAAATGACTTGGTCACTCAAAGTTGTTCTTAAAGCAATATTGTTATTATCGTATACAGCATTCTCTTGGTTTTGCTCTTCATTATTTCATGCAAGTCTTTCTACGTTTTTCAAAAATCATTGATGCCCATCACTTCAGGAGCGGCTATACAAGTTGTGGTATGTGATTATGATGGGATACTACTGTGCTATAAGAAACGATGAGCTTGATAATTTGAGAAAAACATGGAAAGACTTGCATGAAATAATGAAGAGCAAAAAGAGACCCATGAAGAAAGATTCTAAAGTCATACCAAGTCATTTTGACTATTACAAATACCCAAATTAACTACATAGGACCTATGAAGAAAGATGCTATCTACATCCAGAGAAAGAACTGATAAATAGAAGTATGGTATGGTTTTATTTAAATATAATATAATAAATAAATAAATCCATATTTATTTATTAAATCTATATTTATTTCCATGTTTTTCTAAAATCATCAAGCTCATCGTTTCTTATGGCACAGTAGTATTTCATTACAATCATGTACTATAATTTATTCAGCCATTCCCAACATATAGGTTTTTTCCCCCTTTTCCCTAATCATCTTGGGAAACAGACCTAATAGTGATATTGCTGGGTCAAAGGGCATAGGCAGTTTTATCTCTTTGGATATAATTCCAGTTTGCTCTCCAAAATGGTTGGATTAGTTCACAGTCCTAATTTTTCCACATCCCTTCCAACATTTGTTGCTTTCCCCTTCTCTCATTTTAGCCAATCTGATAGGTGTAAAATGATATCTCAGGATTTTTAAAAATTTACATTTCTCTGATCAATAGTGATTTAGAGCATTTCTGGCTTCCATCTTTGAGAAAGAAGATGAGAGAGGCCAACCCTACTTCAGGTTGCTGAAGGAAAAGACTCTGGGAAGACATGAATAAGGAAAAGTGTTAGACTGCCTACCAAACTCAAGGTCTACAGAGCCATTGTGCTGATCTCATTGTTGCGTGCCTATGAAACCCACACAGTATACCCAGAATGGAATTGTTTTCATCTGAATTGCCTTAGGAAGATTCTGAAGATCACTTGGAAAGATAAGGTACCAGACACTGAGGTTCTTTCTGGACCTGAACTGCCAAGCATTCAAACTCTACTGCAGAGAGCACAGCTCCAATGGGCTGGCCACATTGTTTGAATGCCAAAAGTACATTTGCCCAAAAGATTACAAGGCAAGCGCTCACATGGAGGTCAGAAGAAGCGATGCAAGGACACTCTCAAGGTCTCTCTGAAGAACTTTGGAATTGATTGTGACACATGGGAGACACTGACATAGGATCGCCCTGCATGGTGTGCCCCTATCAGAGAAGGTTCTGTGCTCTATGAGCAAAGCAGAATTGAAGTTGCTCAAAAGAAACTCGAGATGCGCAGATTTAGGGAATCCACCCCAAATGTGCACACATACTATTTGTGCCCAACCTGTGGGAGAGCCTTCTGGGCTCATATTGGTCTGATCAGCCACTGTCAGACACACTGTGCTTGACTCCAATGTAGTGATGTCATTTGGTCCTCTTTGAGAACAAAGGATAATAATCAACCGACCAATAATGACTTAGTTATCAGAAATTAGATGGAATCCAATTTTATTTCCTAGACTAACAATATTTAAGGTATCAGATAGACACAGTTCTCCCCTGCCACCCCTTCTCTTAGAGGATAGCAGAGTAGCCTCAGGCCCCAACTTCCTGCTTCTCCTCCCAGCAGGAATTAGTCTGCCTTGGAGAAGGGTTGGAGGAGAAGAGGCTAGAGATGTCTATTCTCCTTCCCTTTGAGCCCCACAATGATAGCCCTCACTACAGGTGGTGTAGGTCTCTCTTCCTATAGACAGACAGACAGACACACACACACACACACACACACACACACATACACACACACTACAGGTCTATGATTCTGTGACTGTGAATTGAATCTTTTTTCCATCATGATGTGCTCTTTTCTGGCTGATGCAGTGTGGAGGCTCTTTCAGCTGATTTATTATTACGGTTATCCCTTCCACATTGCCGGGGTTAGGGGCATGGTTCCCCCCTCCCCCGCCCCCACCCCTAGCCGCTACCATCTGGAAATTTTGGCCCTTCTTTCATACCAGAGAAGAAGTCTGAATTATTATAATATTAAAAGATAAAATATACATTGCTACAACACAATACTATACATGTAGTATAGTGTTATACTATACATATACTATACATGTATTTTATGCATATGCATACTATACATATATTTTATGCATTTCTGAGTTTCTAAACTTTTTCTGTGTTGTCTGCTGGCCTTCATATGTCAAATGTCTGTATCTTCTTCAAAACTCTCTCAAAATTCCCATTTAATTTTTTATGCTGACCCATGATATATCAGAACCACGATGGGGAAAGTCACGATGTAGAAGGGACGAGTGTACTACAATTTCATGTTACTTAGATTTTTACAGGAAATGTTGATGGTCAACATTTACTCTTGTCTCTTTCTCACTTTAAAAATTTGGGGTAGAGACAGCTAGGTGGTACAGAGGAAAGAGTTCGGTCTTAGAGTCAGAAGGACTTGAGTTCAAATGTGGCTTCAGGCACTTACTAGTTGTGTGACTCTGGGCAAGTCACTTAGCCCTGATTGCCTCACAAAAAAAAAAAAGGAAGAAAAAAAAGTTTAGCATCATCAAGCAGGGCTGTTCAAATCTTTTATAATCTTACATTGCACTGTCATTTCATTTTTATCATCTAATTAGCATTGTCAATCTTTGCTCTAACCAGTCAGTGATGACTTCGTGTTCAGATGGCTGACTGTGACCATATCATAGGAATTAAATCTGGAGTAGATTTTAGAGGACATCTAGTCTAACCTCCTAATTTTATAAATGAGGAAACAGCACCAGAGAATGAAATTACTGAGTTCTTCCTACCTTCCCTATTTCTTTCCAGGGTATCACTATCCTTTGAGTCAACCAGGTTCATAACTTTAGAGACACCTTGTACTTTTCATTTCATTTTCCTTTACCCGGCATTGATTCTACCTCCACACCTCTCACATCTGTTTCTTTCTCAGCCCTCCACAATCACCAACCTCACTGAAGCACTTATCACTTCTTGCCCAGATTGTTGCAATAGCCTCTTAAGGAAACTCCTGCCTCAAAACCATCTCCAATCCATCTTCCATATCATTGACAGATTGATATTCCTAAAACACAGATCTGTCCATGTCACTCTTTTGCTCAGGAAGCTTGAATAATTCCTTGTTACCTCTAGGATAAAATACAGATGCCTTTGTTGGGCTTCTAGAGACTTTCACAATCTGGCTCCAGTTGATCTTTCCAAGACAATTTTAGAAATCTCCATCCCGTACTCTGCATTGCAGCCAAAATGGCCTCGTTGCTCTCCTCACTAAGCACAACAGGGTTATCCCTCATGCCTGGAAAATTCATTCTCCCTCCTCACTTCCATCTTTTAGGATCCCAGTTCCCTCCAATATTCAGCTCAAATTCTGTTTCCCTTTCCTGCTTCTCCTGCTGTTAGTGCACCTCTCTTTGAAATTTCTTTTTAATTATTTTGTGTGGATTTTCTATTTCCTTACTTGCATGCATGTTGCTCTCTGTCCAAACCCCAGAGTAGAATGTAACTTGAGAAGCAAGGACACTTTGGTTTTATCCTTGTATTCCCAGCCAGAATACAGTGCATGGCGCATAACAGTCACTTACTAGATTCTTCCTGTGATATTCTAGTGTGATATTCTCACATTCATTTCATTGGATTAAAATTTTAGATACTTGTTAGGCAACCGATATCCCAGTAGGGTCAATGGGTCAAACTCTTATCAGCCCCTTCCTGATAACAGCATGGGTATCCCGCAGAATTGTAAATGAAAGACCTTGGCAGTGACAGAAATATGTGGCTTTTGCAAAACTTATCAAGGTCTGAGAGAAAGGAATGTGTGCAAGGCCAGGAGAATGGAAAAAAAACTGGAGGCAAACATAAAACAGAACATTTGACATATATATCACAGAATTTAGGATTTAGAGCTGAGAGGGACCTTGTAGATTGTCATACCATCTCTGTGACAATAGGCAAATTATTTAACCTCTCTGGGCCTCAGCTTCCTCCTCACTAAAATGTTAGTATGAGGTGGAGGGGAGAAGCATTTGTATGGCTCATACTATGGACTAGGCACTGTGCTAATCATGCTTATAATGTTTATGAATGTTTATAAATACTATCTCATTGGATCCCCACAACAACTCTGTAAGGTGGGTGCTATAGTTATCTCCATTTTATAGCTGAGGAAAATAGAGACCAAATGACATGTCAAAGGTCACACAGCTAGTTAAGTGTGTGAGGCTGGATTTGAACTCAGGTCTTCCTGATTTCAAACCCAGTACTCTATCCACTGCTCCTGAATTAGATGACCTTTCGAGCTGTCTAGACTGTTAGGATCCAGTCACTTTGTTTTCCTTTATTTGTCTCCTTAAGCACTTAGCCCAGTGCTTGGTACATAGCAGTAAGTGCTTAATAAACACTACTTAACTGAGTGATTCCCTTCATTTTATAGAGGAGGAAGCTTCCGGGGCCCAGAGAGCTTACAGCAGTAAGGGACAGAACTCATGTTCGAACACATGTTATCTGACTTGAGACACAGTTCTTTTCCCAATGGACCGTGCTGTTGAGTTTGAACTGAGTTCATCGTAACCCCCCACACAGTGACCTTTGCATTATACCGTGATCTCTGTCCTTTAAAAGCAGGATCACCAGCATATAAAATCATGGATATGACAGTCTCAGAGAAGGTATGCATGAGTTTGGCTCTTCCAGATGCCTTTGGCTGACTCAAGGAGGCAAGAATTCACTAGGGGAGGAATGTAGCATGCTCTTGTGTGTTAGAAAAGAATTTGTTGTTTCTTCCACTCCCCTCTCCTATCCTGGAGAGAATGAGGCATAGTATAAAAAGGATGGAAGGATATTTTTCAGGACCTGGTTGGGTAAAGCAAATGGCACTGAGGCTATTCAAAGGATTGGATCTGTAAAGGGAGTTTACCAAATGTCTGGTCTTTGACCATGTGGAAGCTGCGTATCAAACAAGACTCTTCATCCTACCCTGTTGAAAGAGTGAGTTTTCAGTATCTTATATCCTATGACTACTCTTATTCTGCAGATGATGAGAAGGGACTGGGTGCCTTGTGCCTAAACAAAGCTATGACTGGGAATTCTAACAATGGGGACAAATTCAGTTGAGTGTGAGTGTATGTGTGTGTGTGTGTGTGTGTGTGTGTGTGTGTGTGTGTGTGTATTTGTGTGTCTAGAGAGACATTGATTTGCTGACATAAAGAATCAAACTATCTCGGGGGCAGCTAGGTGGCGAAGTGGATAGAACACTGGCCCTGAATTCAGGAGGACCTGAGTTCAAATCCAGCCTCAGACACATAACACTTACTAGCTGTGTGACCCTGGGCAAGTCACTTAACCCCATTGCCTAGCCAAAAAAAAAAAAAAAGAATCCAACTATCTCACACTTTTCATCAGGGACCAAAGAAGCGAGACAACCAGGGAAGGGGAAATGGGGACACTGTGTTTTTGTATGTACATGTAACACTTCTTTAGACTCTTTCTTTCCTTTTCTTTTCTCTTTTCTAATGTTTCCTATCATGCCCTAGTTAAAAAAAAATAGAGCTGATAAATTTCACACCCTAACTCGCATTTGCTATTTCAACATTAATGTGAAGAGATATGAGAGGACACCTCCAACTCGTCCTGGGTAAAAGTGGAAGGCCATAGATATTACACATTGCACATATTTTGGGAATTTTTCAATGTATCAATCAATTATGGTGACTTTTTTATCCTCTTCAAAAAGAACTATTTGTCATATGGAATAGCTTTCTGGGAAGGGAAGGAAAGGGAAGGGAGAGGGATACATAGTATAATATGGTTATGTAAGGAACAGAAAATATCAATAAAAACATATAAAAGAAAAAAATAGATATAGCAATAACTTCTAAAATAACATAAGATAAAAACAATTGCTGATTTGTAGCCCCACGTGGTCCTGTTCTTGAGGTCAAAATATATAGTCTCTTTTGCCAGTAACCTTTCTACAATCCCAGGCTTCCTCTACATGTGTCCCAGGCATGGAGGGGGAGATCTTCCCCATTACCTGTCCCATGTAGGCTTACACCTTAGGGAAAGTGAAAATCAGCCTTCCTTGGGAGTGCCCTTCCTCCCCCTACGCCCCCTGCCCCCGATTTGATTTTTTAAAGATTGGATTCTCTGTAGCGCCAGGAGAAACCCTCCCAGAACCCAGATCTGAGGAAGAGAAGTTTCCAGACTTCACCCCCTGTCCCCTCTGCCGTCTCTTGGTGATCCATGTCACTGAGAAGATAGACATACCGCAAACCTGATTCCTGTTTCTGTAGTGGGAAAGAGGCAGTGGTATTCAGACACAGCTTGGACTCCTCTAGCAGTACACTGGCCAGCTCACTGCGAAATTGTGTGGGAAGCTGAGGATTTCCCAGACCAGACATCAGAAGACAACAAAAAAGTTAATCGTGCTTCCCTTTTTAAAAGTGTGCACTCTTTACTCTGGGAGTTAATAAATTATGAAACCAGACTGAAATTTAATTTTCAAATGAACTTTGTCTTGCTGTGTGGAGATATTCCAACTTTCAAAAAAGCAAAGAGAATGGAGTTCACGGACTAGTGAGCTTGACTTCGGTTCTTAGGGAAAGTTCTAGAACAGTAAAAGTTAGTAAAGAGATGGCTTTCAACATCTGGAGAAAAACATGGTGATCACAGAGGTCTGGGCCATCTTACTTACGTCAAAGGCAGGCCATGGCAGATTAAGTATATTTCTTATTTTTTAAAGTGTGACTAAAGTGGGGGAATAGGGGAATATTCTAGATATGGTGACCAAAATATTAGCAATGAATTTGCCAAAATAAATCATATTGCTGTGTGACCCTGGGCAAGTCACTTAACTCTGATTGCCTCCAAAAAAATTCATATTATTCTTATGGAAACAGTGGAGAAATGTAGGCTTGGTGGCAGTATAATTAAATAGATTCAGAACGGGTTGAATAGGTGTTACTGGTATTAATGTCTCCAGTGGAGGGCCTCTTTGATCTATGTGTGGATCTGTGCTGTTTAATGTTTTACTAATTAACAACAAGAGGTAATATTTATATAGCATTTTAAAGATGTGCAAAGCTCCTTGTAAATATTATATTATCCTCAAAACAACCCTGGGAGGTAGGTGCTACTATTATCTTCATTTTACAGGTGAGGAAACTGAGGCAGACAGAGGTTAAGTATCTTGCCCACTGTCACACAGCCAGCAGGCAGGCAGGATTTGAATTCAGATCTTCAGGACTGTAGACCTAGCACTCTATCCACTATGCCATCTTGCTGTTTTTAGTATTATCCAAGTATTAAGGACTTGGATAAAGACAAACATCTGGGAAGAGTAGCTAAAACATTAGATGATGGGATTTTTGAAAATATTGACAGATTGAGCTGACTCTACAGAGGTGAAGTTTAATAAGAGATAAATCTAGTCTTATACTTTCAAAAACCAACTTCACAAGTACAGGATAGAGGAAACATTGTTGGCTAGCAGTTTGTCTGAAAACAAAAATGTGAGGGTTTTAATGCATTCCAAGCTCAACAGGAATTAGCAGTGGGACCCCAGAGCCAAACAAAGCTTAGTGCAATCTGCGACTAGATTGATAGAGACTAGGTTTTTTGTAGGGGTGTGCTGTAGCCTACTTGAATCAGCTTGAGAAAAGCCGGTTGTCAAATTATCAGTGTGAACATCATTCCTCAGAAATCAATAAATGCTACAAATCTGGGCTTGGTTTATTGTTTTGTTGACGTTCTAGACTTACGTGATGCAGAAAATGTTAATGACCCAGATTATGCTTAAAGTATGTATGTAACTCTTACTCTCCCCTCCCCTCCCCTGCCTTTTGGTTCTTAAACATTTACCAACACATCCCTGATTCTAGTTCTGCTGTGCTCTGGTCCGATCACATCTCAAGGATTGTGTTCATTCCTAGGAAGAACATTAATAGGTTAGAGAATGTTCAGAGTAGTGCTACCAGGATGGAGAAGGGGAAGATTAATTAATTAATAAACTGGGGATGTTTATCTTGGAGAAGAGGAGATCTGTAGCTCTCCTTAAAGATTTGAACAACTGGAATAGGGAAGATGGATTAGATGTGCTGTTTGTTTTTGTTTCATCCCTCTCCTGGCTATACTTCTGAATCTCTGGATTTCACCACCATGTTCCTCCTCTCCCTCCTTTTCCCTTCACCTCCCATTCCTTTTCATAACAGATAAATAAACAAGACCAGGTATGACTTGCTCAGAAAACATATAGGAAACAGCTTGGCATAGCGGGAAACAAACCAAAATGGTAGACTAGGAGTCAGAAGACCTGAGTTCTAGTCTTGGCTCCTCTGTTAACTGACTGAATGGCTATGATGAAGTCATGTCATCCACCTGGACTTCAGTTGCTTATTTGTGGAATGAGGGTTTTGGCCTGGGTGATCTTTAGCTCTCATGATGTGTGATTCTTTGGGTCCATGAGATTACACACCCATTCTGATAAGCTGATCCCCGTGTTCATAGGACTCATTTCCTCAACTGCCGGATGAGGTCATTGGACTCTGAGGTTCCCTTTCAATTCTAGACTTATGACTTATTTCAGAGAGTTGTTGTGCACATAAAATGAGAACACACACACATAAATATTTTATATATGTAAAGATTTTTTTTGACACATCTTAAGTCATCATCATCATCATCGAAGATCACCAGTCTCAAAGAAATCACCAATGGTTTTCTTTTATTAGTAGGTCACATTTCCTTGGCACCAGTTCCAAATCACTTTTCTTACAACCACTAGGGAATAAAAAGAGAGAGACAAAATATTATTATTCTCATTTTTTAAAAAAACAGATAAGGCTGGTTACAGCCCTGGCTTAAAGGAGCCACTGACCTCTAAATTTCATTTCCTTTAGAGTTTGACTTGGGCTTGTTCGAACGCTAGATGGCAATATTGCCTCAGAAACTTGGCCCGAGACATTCTTAGGGGCAGGCTTCCAGGAGCCTCCTTTTATTACTTTCATAACATTTTTTTTTTTTTGCTCAGCCGTGTGCAAGCATCCCAGGAAACAGAAGCCATGGATTTTGAGGTCCTTCCTATTCCCCTCTTTATGCCTTCTCCTTTTCTGTCATGGCAAGCATCCTCCTGCTCCCCCTTCTTTCCATGTTGGGTGCTCCATGAAGAGCTCAAAGGGTCATAAGCCTAGAGCAGGGAGGGACCTCATGAGCCATTTTACAGATGAGGAAACTGAGTCTGTGAGAGTTTAAGTGACTTGCCCAGGTTGAGACAGTGATCAAATATCCAAGGCAGGACTTAAAACCAGGTTTTCCTCACTCTAAGTCCTGTGTTTCATCCACTGTGCAGGAGGCAGGTTAGGGACCAAGGAAGACCTCCCTTCTTCCACGGTCCTTTCCATTGTCCCTAATATGTTTATAAAGGTTGCCCAGTGCTTCAGCCTGGGGTCAGGTAGATCTGAGTTCAAATCTGGCCTCAGACACTTGGGACCCTGAGCAGGTCACATAACCCTTTTGCTTCAGTTTACTCATCTGGAAAATGTAGATAATAATAGCATCTGCTTTCCAGCCTGGGCAGGTGATGGAACCTTTTTGTCTCTATTGACACATCTGTAAAATGTGGATAATAATAGCATCTACTTTCCAGGGTTGCTGTGAGGATAAAGTAAAACAGTATTTGAAAATATTTACAAACCTTAAAGTGTTGCATAAATGGCAGCTATTAGCTATCATTAAAATGAATGGTAAGGGTGCACAGTGGTAGATTTAGAGGTGGAAGGGACCTTAGGGGGTCATCAAGTCAAACCCCTTTTTTCATGCAGAGGATACTAAGAACTAGAGAGGTTCCCTGACTTACCAAGCTCACACAGTAAGTATCTAAGTAAGGTAAGATTTGAACTCTGTTCTTCCTGATGCCAAGGCTAATAATGCCTCTCTCTCTTTCACTATATTGCCTCTCTAAAGGAGGCTTCCACTCACGTATAGGTCTATGTAGTAAAAATATATATATTATATATATATATATAATATATATATATATATATATATAATATATATATTTTATATATATATATATATATTTTTTTGGTTAGGCAATGGGGCTAAGTGACTTGCCCAGGGTCACACAGCTAGTAAGTGTCAAGTGTCTGAGGATATTCTTTTTTTTTGTCATCCTTTTTGGATAGTTAATCCATATAGTATTTTTCCCTGTGCCTTGGTAGCTTCTCATTTTTTATAGAGCTTGAGAACCAATCCTTCGATGCACTAATCACTGTGTCAACCAAGACTGGACCTCTTCTAAGTATACTTAATCTAACCCATTGCTTGTCCTGGCCGCGTTGTCTTCAGTGTCATTGTTACTTCACATATGGCATGTTGGGGACTGATGTTAAAGTCAAGTATAGTGACTCCAAGTTTATTGATGAAAAAATAGCTAGCATTTATAAAGTCTTTTAAAGTTTGCAAAGCACTTCACGTATTTTGACTCGTTTGATTCTTACAACAATCTTATGAGGTAGATGCTATTATCATCACCTTTTTACAGATGAGAAAATGGAAGCTAAGAGGGTAAATGACTTGCCCAGAGTCATGAAAGTGGGGAGTGTTTGAGTTAGGATTTGAACTCTAGCCTTCGTGACTTCAAGTCCTGTGCCATAAACACTGTACCACATGTCTACCTAGTACTTTGTTATACAAAATATGGCAGATATTTTCCATTTTTGGGGTCTATTTTTCTCTTTCTAGTTTCTTCTATAAATTCTCTTAGGGTTTCGTTGTTTAATCTTGTGCCAGATTTTCAACAAACTCATTTTTCCTTTCACTGTTTCTCACTATTTTATGGGCCCGTACTGCTCATAATCTTGGGATATCCTCCTCCATTTGGTTTTGCAAACAAGTTTATGTTTTATATTTTAAACCTATGTTTCCCTTGGCTACCTTGTCTTTTTACTTGGCAAGAAGATCAAGCGTTTGCTGGCTGAGGCCGTTTCTATGTTGTGGAAATGGCTTTACATCAATTACAGTTTCACGGGAAATGGTGCTACTCTGGGTTGATGTTTGCCCACATAAGTTAAACTTCAATGATTTGAGTTGGTTGTGGGGTTCATCACAAGTTTAAATAGAAGGAAAGAATTGATCCTCAGAAGGTGACACAGTGGAGAATCTTGGACCTGGGTGGGAGAAGGGTCAGGAAAGCTCATCTTGGCTCTGCTACTGACCAGCTGTGAGACCTTGGATAAGTCCCAACTTCTCTGAGCTTGAGTTTCTTCATCTTTCACGTGAAGGAGTTAGACTGGGGTATCCATAAGGTTTCTTCTACCTCCCACGTCTCATGAGTTTATTAAGTCTAGGCCGCGTGGGCTATACCATCTGGGCAATGCTCTGGAGAGAAAGCTGGGCTAGGTAGGAGTAAGGAAGACCTGAGTTTGAATCTTGCCTCAGATAAGTATCAGCCCAATGACTCTGGGCAAGATGTTCAATCAATCAACACCCATTTATTAAATGCCTCATGTGTGTCTGGAACTATGCTAAATTCTGGGACTACAAAGAAAAAGCAAAAACAGTTCCTGCTCTCAAAGAGTTACCCTAATGGGGAAGATGTTTTATATAAATTCAATTCACTAAACATTCATTAAGCACCTACTGTATGTCAGGTGCCATGCTAAGCTCTGGGGATACAAATAAGAAAAAGAAAGTCCCTGCTCTCAAGTATCTTGTAATCTAATGGGGGAAAGGGAATGCACAAAAGGAAGCTGAAAGAGGGGGAAGGGGACACTGGGATGGGACCAGGTAGGTGCATGATGTTCTGGGGAGTCAAGACTAAGTAGAGCTACTGAAGGAAAATGGAGATGCTTGGAAAGTTCCTCTGAAAAGGAAGCCTTTGGAGAGTCTTTGCTGCTCCACATTCTAGTCCTTCAGTCAGAGGGGAGAGGTAACTGAGGGTGCCGAAAAAGGTGTTGAATATGAAAAGCCATGTCAATCAGCATGGTGATGAGATTTTAGGTGATCGGCCTATCCCGGAGGAGGTACAATGCTCCTTAGAATTGCCCAGCAAAACAGCTGATGGAAAATGGATACATACTGAATGATGGAAGATGGTTAGAGGAGATGACCCTAGCCACTGGGAGGACCACGAAAGGCATCCTGGAGGAGGTGACCCTTAAGCTGTAAGCCAAGGATTCCAAGAGCCCAACGTGAGAAAGGAGGACATTCCAGGCATGGTGGACAGTCAGTGCAAAGGCACAGAGAGATGGGAAATGAAGTGTTGTGTGAGAAGAGTATCAGTTAGGCCAGGATGGCTAAATTCCTTCGTTGGTGGAGGTGGGGTAGAATGGAAGAAGATTGGAAGGGTTGGAATAGGTTAGGTTGTGAAGAGTTTTTAAATGTCACATTAAATTGGACCCTGGCCATAGTAGGGAGCCCTTGGAGTTCATTGAATGGGGAGTGGGGTGGGACATTGTAAGATCTGCCTTTTAGGAAAATTGCTTTGGTAGTGGAGAGAAAAATTTGTTGAAATGGGGGAAACTTGTGGCAGAGAGACCGATTAAAAAGCCCTTGGTGAAATTAAATTAATTAAAATTAATTACCAATTAATTATTGAAACATCCAGGTGAGAGGTGATGAGGGCCTGAACTAGAGTAGTACTGTTGGAATGGAAAGGACAGGCCTCTGCAAGAGATGTTGAAAAGAAAGAAATATAAGATTTGGCAACTTACTGGATATGTGGAATGAGCAGTAGAGCAAAGAGCTGAGGACGATACGTAGGTAGTAAACCTGGGGAATGGAGAAGAGTGGTGCCCTTGACAGCAGCAAGGATGTTCAGAAAAGGGGAAGGCTTGGTGGGGGGCTGGGGAAGATAATGATTTTTATTTTGGGCCTGTTGAGGCAGAGATGCCTAAGAGATACCCAGTCTGAAATGCCCAACAGGCAGTGGATGATGTAGGACTGGTGCTCGGGGGAAAGACTAGTGCTGGATATATCGCTCTGGGAATCATCTGCTGAGGGATGATCACTGAATCCACTGTAGTTGATAAGAGTCTCCAAATAAAAGAGCACAGAGAAAAGAGTGAAGAGGACCTAGGACAGAGATTTTGGGGACAAACCTAGTTAGTGGATATGACATGGGGGAAGATCCCAAAAATGCTGAGAAGGAACAGCCAAATACAATCTGGCTTCCAAGCCCATCTTTCAACTGAAACTGTTCTCGCCAGAGTTACCAATGATTCTTCAATTGCCGGATCTAATGGTTTCTTCTTGATTCTCATCCTTCTTGACCTTTCTGCAACATTTGACATTTTGGGGCACCTAGGCACAGCGGATAGAGTACCAGTCTAGTCCAAACAAACACCCACAGAGGAGAGGGTATTTAGGAGGAGAAGGCAGTCAAAATGTCAAAAAGATTTTTTTTGGTTTTCGTTTTTTTCTAGGGTTAAGTGATTTGCCCAGGGTCACACAGCTAGTAAGTGTCAAGAATCTGAGGCCAGATTTGAACTTAGGTCCTCCTGATTCTGGGCCTGGTACTTTATCCACTGCGCCTAGGTGCCCCAAAATATCAAATGTTGCAGAAAGGTCAAGAAGGATGAGAATCAAGAAGAAACCATTAGATCTGGCAAATGAAGAATCATTGGTAACTCTGGCGAGAACAGTTTCAGTTGAAAGATGGGCTTGGAAGCCAGATTGCATTGTGTTTAGAAGAGAGTAGAGCAAATGGTGGCACCTAATGTGGATGTGTTCTTTATTTCTCCTCAAGTTTAGCTGAGAAAGGGCAGCTGGTGCCATAGTGC